TCCCCCCCCCCCCCCATCCCCCTGGCCGCCCTTACCCAGATCCTTCTGGTTTTCACAGAGTTAGGTGTTGGTATTACAAAGTATATTTTCTTCAGTACTTTTGTAAGTCCCACATTTATAACATTTCAGAAAAAGAGAATTGCTGCTTGGTTTCTTTTATTAAAAAAAAAAAAAAAAGTAAAAAAGTTTTATATTTCTCTAGCTTGTACAGAAAATCCAGGGCCTGAATTTGATCTGTGCATTGTTATCATTTGTAACAGCTCACATTAAGGCCCAGTGATATCTAGTAGAAACAACTCCATATGGATTTAATTACATTCTTCAGTTAGGTTAAATGACCTGAAATTATGCAGGCATTTTGCCACTGATCTATTATCCAGAAGTAAAAACAAAGGTGGGGGAAGAGTGCAAATAAATAAAACCTAAGACTGACTTGAACAGGAAGCAGTTTGTTGGCAAGTTTGTAACCATCATTTGGTTTACGGGCATGAAAAACACCTCTTCTGGCGTATACAGTAGAATTACTGAACAGAAAGTATCAGAGGGATTGAATTAATTTCTTTATCTAATATTAATAAAATCTTTCTGCTAAACTCCCAACACAGCATCAAAGCACTGGCCTGAAAAAAGGTCTTGTTCACTGTTGACAGATATTAGCTGTCCTTTATGTCTGTAACTACTCTGTGCTTCTAGATACAATCTGACATGCCTTTGATCTTCGTGACTTGTACACTTCTGACTGACTCAGGACAGAGAAGATACTAGAGAAAGAATATTAGTCAGGAGAAAGTGTTACCATACATGTGTAATATTATTTATAAAAATTGATGTAATCAGGTTGCATAGTATGATGCCCAACAATTTTCTTTCTGAGGAGACTTTTGTGGAATGACAAAACACGTCAGGGGTGAAATATCTATGGGGACTCAAGGAAAACAAGGGAATCATACCTTAAAATGCAAAGTTCTGATTTGTCTTTTGGGGAAATAGTACTATTCTTAATGTGAAACCAGATGCCACTCATCTGGTGCACAATTCCTTTCCCAGCTTCACAAATCATATCAAATGATAGTTTTATTGTGGGTTCCATGTCCCTTGATGGTTGCTCCTAATGCTTATCTTCCATTCAGTGCTAAGGCCCTTCACAAACTCTTCCTTAGTTTACTCCTGATTTTTGTCTCTTATCATATTGATCCATCCATACTACCAGTGATGTCCTCTTCAATGCTCTGCTCTTCTCCCTTCTTTGCCTACCTTAGGCTTTTCTGCCTGTACCTCTATATCCAAATGTGTTACAGGTCCTATGCTCGTGCACTTGGAAAGGTGTAACAACTAGATAATGCAGTTCCATGCAGGTTACTCAAAGCACTACAGCATCCAAACATCACAAAATGGAACTTTAGAGAACAGTTATATTTGGCTGATTGATAGAGGAAATCATTAGGCTGAATTAGTAGATGTGACATTTTTAGAATAAATGATTTATATACTGAATTCTATGGTGAAAAATAAAATAGTTCTGTTTTCTGTATTAATACATAAGTTGGCATGAAGTAATAGTTACTAATTGTTTTATTTCATTTTAGTTTGCTTGAGCACAGAATTTTAGAAATGGAAGAAAGGCATAAAGAGGAGCTGGACACTTTAAAAGAGGAAAAAGAGAACCTACAAAACTTGGTCACACGACAAAGCTACATAATTCAGGAACTAGAGAAGCAGTTAAACAAGGCAACAAGCAATAACAGTGTCCTGCAGAAACAGCAGCTTGAATTGATGGATACAGTTCACACTCTGATCACCCTCTGTTCCAAGGAAGGAGGTAAGAAAGTAACATTATAAAACAGTAGAAGTACTAGGAAATTTGGAAAGGCAGGAGTTAATGAGCTTATTCCAATAAAGAAAAGGACATTACAATTGAGGAAAAAAAAGCTGATGGGAACCCACAAATCAAACAAGGTTCAGACAACACTGAGGCTGACCCTTGTTCTAGTGGCCATTTTTGTTTTTTTAAATTTAATGTCATCGAGTTGACCATAGCTGATGTAGGCCATAATTCCACTGACTTCACATTGGCAATACTGATTTGTTCCTCTGAGCATCTCTCTCCTTCTGCTGGGAGTAATCCAACCAGCCATGCATGTTAACTTTATAGAGGCCTCTGTCTAATTTACTTTAGACTTCCCTTACAATCATTAGAGAGAACAGGGTACTAAATGAAGTAAAGTAACCCAAAACTTGATACATATATATGGGTTATAATGTTGATGAACTTGGATGTAGGCACTTATGGTGCTGTAGATATCCAAAAGATTAATCTCTTCTCTTGAATGAGATTTTATTTGTAATAAGGGATCATTTTTCTTCCTTTGGCCTTGCTAGATTTTGTTTGTATGTTTCCTGGTGCATTAGGCACACTGCAAACAAAAAGAGGGGTTGACAAAGACTCCAGGATTCTCCTGAAGTCTGCATTTCTTAATAAACAGGTTTCTTACAGAGACTGAGAAAGAAATTCAGGTAGCATTTCAATTTTCAAATGCTAAAGACACTGGAGAATATCTCTGGAGAGAAATTCCTTTCATCAGAACTGATCAAGGGAGATGGCTAAATGGAGACCACTGTAAAAGATAGAAATGGGACAGTGTAAACAACAAATTAGAAGCTATGGAAAACAAGGCAAAGTCATACAGAAGACAGGGAAGCAGAAAAGTGAAGGAGAATATAAGAGAAAAGGCAAATGCTAAGAATAACATCTAAAAGGGGATTAACAGCTGTGCCTGGTATGGCATGAAGACAGTTAAAAATAATGGAGGAAATTAAGTTGAGGAAAGAAAATAATATCCATCTGGGAAGAAGCCTTCAAAATCCTTCTGAGAAAGGGTACAGGGTAAACGTAGAGAGAAACTGTAGATGTGTGAACTGTGCTATTCATTCAGTGAGTGTGGAAGCATGGATGAAAGCAGTCTATGGGAGGTTAAGTACCGGCAGTTCTAGGAGCCCAGCATAGTTGCTCATTTTAATTCTAGAGCTCTAAGTGCCATAAATTATGTAAAAAACCAAAAAGCAAAAACCAAACAAAACCCCCAAACAACAGCCCCATTCCCCCTAGTCAAAACCTTGTCACCTGCATTGTTATTCAATATTCTGTTTAAGAGGCAGAAGGACATATTAGGTCATTCATACTGTTGAGCTCGAGGCAGTGTGGGTTTGCTCTCTACAATATATTCCCATGCAACTTGTGTGGCTTAAATCTGAACTTCTCCAGTGACGAAGATTACATCTCTTCCTTTGGAAGTGTTGCATGCTTGGGCCCACGTTGATAGAACATTTTCCCCCCTCATGTTCATTCTGAATGTTCCCTTCTGCTTATTCTGTTATACTGTTCCCCAGCACTTTGAATTAAATAACATCCTTCATAGTAGGCTGTTCTCATATCAGTACAGAAACATTGTGATGCAATGCAAATCCTTTATTATGTTTTATGGTCTTTTGGCAAAGAAACCTGGCAAAGCTCTGTTTAGAGTGTTCTAACAGAGCTCAGGAGTACTTTAAAATTAATATCAAAATGAAAGATATATTATTCTCATACAGACAAATACTGCAAGTTCTTTTTAGGGTTACAAACAGATTTTTTAATAATTTTGAATTTGATTAAAAAAAATGAAAACACAAACAAACCAACATTTTTCGTGATCTTATTTTCCTCAGCTGCTTCTTATAAAAACTTTGAGTGAGGATTACAGAAGTGAATGTTTAAAATTGGGCTCCTGGGTACAAATTCAGGTTCCTGAAAACCTGAATTTTCAGCAGTATTTTTTTTACTTCTGAGGAACTGTGGAAGCAAAAGATGCTCAGCACAGCTAAATGCCTAAATATAATTTTAATAGCCTAACTCAGACTCTTTATTTTGGACCTTTTGTGTATTAATATGTTCAGAATTTTCCTTGGATACTTTTTTTATTTAAAGAGAATAATTTAAAGAGAAATAATTGCAGAAATATTTCCTCTTACTGTCTAAGTCTAGCTGACAGACTTTTTTGGTAAGTACATTCAGAGCTGAAAAAGGAGCCAGACAGCTTAAGTTAAAATAATAATATTATCCTGGAGCACAAGGCCACTCTGAAAGCTGAGTACTAAAGCATTTGGTTGTACCAAAAAATAATACCAGTTTCAGTCTGTGCAAATATATGTTGAAGATGGAAAACTGTGCATACCGGGAAGTACAACTGGAGCTACTCTAAATTCACACAAAAATATGAAGTTTAGATAGTCTTACGCAAGTCTTTATGTGTGCACTAATGTTCAAAACATAAAATATGCTGTGAGAACTGGTGTTTATTTGGAGATAGAGAATAACAAAATGTGATACATAAATCAGTGACACCACTTCTATCTTATACTTTGGTAAACCTTAGTCATCTAATTTCATAAGGGATATATAGCAGAAATGGAAATAGTCCAGAAAAGGACAATGGAAATAATTAGAAACCTGGAATGATTTCCATATGAGGAGAGCGAGCTGTAACATGGAGAACTACTACATGGGAAAAAAGGTATGTGGGATGCTATTATGGAAGCATACAAAATAACTAATGGTAGGGAGAAAAGGAACAGCCAGTGACACTGAGAGATGCTTTCCATTGATAAAAGATAGTACTTGATTATGCTAAGTAAAGATTGCTACATACATTGAGATTGTTAAAGATTTTTGAATTATGAGAAAGCTGAAGAGCTAGGAAAGGATGGGTCCCCTTAAAAACTTCAGGCTTTTAGGTACACTCATCTTTGAAAGGAAGGACAACCTAAGCGAGGCATTAAGTTTAGAATGCCAGATTGTGAAAGCTGAGTAACTTGCTAAGGCTGAACGCAAGAGTTGAAAGGAATTGCAAAGTCTAAACCCTGCGGTATTTTGAGAATGGTTTTAAGTACCTTTGTTGGATTTTCAACTGTAAATTAAAAATGTAAGTAGATAAATTTTATGTTAAATGTATGTGTATATATTAAAAAACCCCTGTTTTCATTATCAAGAAACCTAAAAAATCTCTGCCAAGATAAGTCACAGATGGGAAAATTGTGTTTTCCTTGCATAAATCATAGTCTTCAGGATTTCCCAATTTGTGAAACTGAAATTAGTAATTTAAAAATTATTTTTTTATAAAATAATAATAAAGTTAAATAACTTCATCTGAAACCAAGCTGGTGATAACCATTGCTTTTTGATTACAAAACATGAGATAAATTTCCTCCAGTAATGACATAATCATATCAGAAGATTTATTTTTAGATTAATTTAAATAAGTTGGGAAACTTTCAGAAGTTTGCCTGCTAGGAGCCCGTGAATAATATAGCTGAACAGTGTAGAGATACAGTGCTGAACAGAAACTGCTTTTGTTTAGTTTTACCCTCAGAAAAGCTTAGCTAACATAGTCCTTAGTAGGAAATGACAACCCTAAGAAATCTACTTTGGTATTTCCACCATGGCTAGGCAAACTTTCAGAGAATTTCTGAAGGATATAAAGGCAAATGAGGAAGAGAGAAAAAAATAAAAGACATACAAAGGTTATATTTTTTTTAAATATAGATGGACCTAAATACAAAATCCAGATCCCACTTTCAGTGTCAGTTTTGGTACAGATCAGTTTTGGGACAGAGGCCACCTGTAAAACTTGGAATTGTTTGTGAGTTTGGTTTCCAAGATCCCACCCACCTCTGTCCCAGTGTGAGCAAGTCTAGAGTTTCAGTTACATGTAATCCTTAAAATAGACACTCGATTAGGTCACAAAGCCTACAGAGAGTCAAATATATTCAGGATGCCGTGGGGACTCACATGTCTCCCTTTTGGCCTCTGTCTATGGCTAAACAGATTTGTCACATTGTTTATGTATTTTTTAGGCAAGGGCAACAATCTTGGCAGCAGCTGCCAATAAATTTCTAAAACAGAATTTCTAAAAAAGCAGCACTTTCAGACACTAGCCTTCCAATTGAAGTGATTGTTCATTATGCTGAAAGTTTTAAGTAACTTCTTAAAGGTTAAGTAATCTCCAAATCTGCCAAAATATAGATAAATGCCTGAAACTTTTCCTTTTCCGCAACAAAAGACAGAGAAATAGAAACATTGAGGTGAAGGCTTAATTAAACACCATAGAGATATTGCATGACTGTCTCCAAAACTGTAGAAGTCTTTCACCTGTAGAAGAGTTCATATAAAGATCACATCATTCTTTGCAAAGGTCATAAAAAATGTTGTGATTATTGTCTTCTTTATAGTGTTCTTCATAATACTTTGAATATTCTTTGTCTGAGGATGGATAAAGCATTTTGGCACATTGCTGTCACTATCAAACAATAAACTGTAACATGGTAACTTGTTTAGTGACACTTTCTAAGCTTCCACATCAGAAACACTACTCACAAAAAGGATATGTAATGCTAAGTAGGGAGTCATACAGATATTACTCAAAAAGAAAAATACAAGGAATACAGTACAAATTATGTTAAGCAAAAGATAATATCATCATCAAAGACAAGTTCAAACCAAGTAATTCAGAATTTGTTTTGGTCCAGTGGGTAATTATTTTTCAAGCTAAACATCAGAAAATGTGCCCAGTCAAAAGTCACATGTATTTTCAGATACATTGTCCTTTTTTTTTTCTAGTAGAAGAAAATACATTGAGTGTCTATTGTGTTAATATTAATCTGCATAACTTAGGATAGTTGTCTTAAGTACTCCTGCCCTCAGTAGGAGCCAATGTAAAAATTCAAAGGGACAGGATGTTTAACCATAAGCTTATTTTCCTTTTACTGTTTTTTGTTTTGTGTCAG